GTGTGTGTATGTGTATGGTTTGAGGCAGGGGTGTGTGTGTGCACGTGTGTGTGTGTGGTTTGAGGCAGGGGTGTGTGTGTGCACGTGTGTGTGTGTGGTTTGAGGCAGGGGTGTGTGTGTGTGTGGTTTGAGGCAGGGGTGTGTGTGGTTTGAGGCAGGGGTGTGTGCGTGTGTGTGTGGTTTGAGGCAGGGGTGTTTGTGTGTATGTGTGTGTGTAGTTTGAGGCAGGGTGTGTGTGTGTGTGTGTGTGTGTGGTTTGAGGCAGGGTGTGTGTGTGTGTGTGTGTGTATGGTTTGAGGCAGGGTGTGTGTGTGTATGTGGTTTGAGACGGGGGAGGGTGTGTGTGTGGGGCTGTGTGTGTGGGGCTGTGTGTGTGCCTTGAGGCAGGGGTATGTGTGTGTATGTGTGTGTGTGGTTTGAGGCAGGGGTGTGTGTGTGTGTGTGTGTATGTGTGGTTTGAGACGGGGGAGGGTGTGTGGGTGTGTGTGAGTGTGTGTGTGGGGGGGGGGTTTGAGACAGAGGAGGGTGAGGGGGTGTGTGTGTGTGGTTTGAGGCAGGGTGTGTGTGTGTGTGTGTGGTTTGAGGCAGGGTGTGTGTATGTGTGTGTGTGGTTTGAGGCAGGGTGTGTGTGTGTGTGTGTGTGTGGTTTGAGGCAGGGGTGTGTGTGTGTATGTGGTTTGAGGCAGGGGTGTGTGTGTGTGTGGTTTGAGGCAGGGTGTGTGTGTGTGTGTGTGTGTGTGTGTGTGTGTATGTCGTTTGAGACGGGGGAGGGTGTGTGTGTAGGGCTGTGTGTGTGGGGCTGTGTGTGTGCCTTGAGGCAGGGGTATGTGTGTGTATGTGTGTGTGTGGTTTGAGGCAGGGGTGTGTGTGTGTATGTAGTTTGAGGCAGGGGTGTGTGTGTGTGTGTGTGTGTATGTGTGGTTTGAGACGGGGGAGGGTGTGTGGGTGTGTGTGTGGGTGTGTGTGAGTGTGTGTGTGTGTGGGGGGGGTTTGAGACAGAGGAGGGTGAGGGGGTGTGTGTGTGTGGTTTGAGGCAGGGGTGTGTGTGTGTCTGTGTGTGGTTTGAGGCAGGGGTGTGTGTGTGTGGTTTGAGGCAGGAGTGTGTGTGTGTGTGTGTGTGTGTGTGTGTTTGAGGCAGGGGTGGGGGTGCGTGTGTGTGTGTGTGTGTGTGTGTGTGGTTTGAGGCAGGGGTGTGTGTGTGTGTGTCTGTGGTTTGAGGCAGGGGTGTGTGTGTATGTGTGTGGTTTGAGGCAGGGGTGTGTGTGTGTGTGTGTCTGTGGTTTGAGGCGGGGTGTGTGTGTGTGTGGGTGGGTGGTTTGAGGCAGGGGTGTGTGTGGGGGAGGGTTTGAGACGGGGGGGGGGGGGGCGGGTGTATGTGTGTGAATACACATGCACCTGTACTTTGCTCTGGGCTAGTGATGTTCTCCTTGGCCATCCCCTCCCCTGACTCACAGGGGACCGCCCAGGGCCAGCCTCTGAGCTGCCACAGTGCCTCAGTGTCGACCCTTCACAGAGGCACCTATTCTGGATACTTCTGGAATCAAGGACAAGACGAGTTTCCTCCTTTATGTCCTGTAGTCTTACGCACTGACATTCCAAAGCAGGTGGCCAGTGACTGCTGGCCTGGAATGACTGGTTACAGCCCAGGCTTCTAGGAAATAAAGCGGAAGACAGCGGGGGACTGGGGCTGCCTCAAGATTTCAGGCAAATAGGCTTTCACGTGCTGTGAGTGCTTGCAGCTTAGCGATCTGAGTTCTTTAACTCATTTACTTGGTTGCAACAGGTCTTGGTGGCAGCATATGGGATCCTGTGGCACTGTGGGATCTAATTCCCTGACCAGGAATCAAACCTGGGGCCCCCTGCATTGGGAGCAGAGCCTCAGCCACTGGACCACCAGGGAAATCCCTCTGAGTTCTTAATAACTGGGTCCCTGGCCCTTCCGCTGTGCTCCTCTTCCCCCTGCTGGGGTGATGGAATGGGTCAGCCTGTCCATTCTGGTTTTAGTGCCCCATAGGCACTAACAGTGGCTCTGGATTTCCTGGTCCAGGGTGGGAACCAGGCCTGTCCAGATGCATGCAGTTATGGGACTGACCTGCCATCCACCCACTTTGAGATGGGCTGATGGAATCCATCAATGTCCAAACACCCATGTCCCTCTCCAAATAGATAAGAAATGCTTGGCTGTCACACATATAACCTGGAAAACATGAGGATAGAAGTTATAAAAGCTAAAGATGATACAGTTGAACTCCAGAGAATTCAGGTGCCTAACTATGTCAGAAGGAGGGAACCATCTACTGAGTGTTTATAACAAGCCATGCACGGTGCTAAGTGCTTTCACATAAATTAACACCTTACCTGAGAAATGGTATTATCTTCATCTTAACAGATGACAAAAATTAAAAAGGTTAAGAACTAGCTTTGTACATAGATCTGGGTTCAAATTACTAGTGAGTAACCCTAAGCAAGTTAACTAACCTCTTTGGAGTCTATTTTCTCATCCATAAAATGGGAATAACAGTTGCCTGCCCTGCTGGTTTAAGTAGAAATGTACGTTGCAGGTATCAGCTCCATTCCAGTTTCCCGCACTCAGGGGTCATTCCACTGTCGTTAAACAGTGACAGTACTTGTAATTTGCCTAAGGTCATAAAACAAATTCAAACCCGGGTTTTCTGATTTCCAAGTTCAGTGCTCATGAGGAAAAAAGCTGATTCACCTAAACATGTGCTGAGTATGGCCTTGAAGCAGGTTCTGCCCTAGGATCTGGAAGATTAGTTAGGTGTGGGAGCCAGATCATGGTCCTACAAGTGCGATGTGTAGACACACGTTCAAGGCGCAGAAATGGCCCAGCAGAAGGTGACCCTTGCGGCTACATCACTAGGAAAACAAGTTGACAAAAATGGCGATATTTTCTCTGTAGTCCCCGCAAAGGGGGAGAAACAGAAGTGAATGGAAATTATTGGGGAACAAAAAGACCAGGTGGGGCTAAACTTCCAGAGAAGTCTTCTAGTGAGGTGGTCTGTTTCACATGTTACACACACACAGTGGCATTTCTCTTCTCAGAGCACACAAACACACTTCAAATTGCAACTCCTAACACCCACATCACACACAGTATTCTTTCCTCCTCTCACTGATTTCTGAAATACAGAGAACATGTATTTAACTTTGTTCCCTGGTCATCTCCCCCACAAGAACATGCTGGAAAGTTTTTTGGTTATGTCTGGCAGCCAATGGAAGATGCAGGCTGGCACTCAGCATATCTAGTCATCTCTACTATTAATATAATGCCAAAAACATCTGCATTCTGCAAAATCACACTCCCAAAATAACAGGACTCCTGAGCTAAGGAGGTTGGGGAAGACCACACGAAATCTATAGAATCTTGCAGCCAGGGCGCTAAGAAACCAGAATCAAGTCCCACACCACGCTAACACAATTAAAGCCCCACTGCCCATGTGTACTGGGCCCCTAGAGCCTTAAATCCCGGCATTTCATTCTTCTTCCTGAGACATACAGGAATTTCTTTGGGATGTCCCAAAGAAGGAGGTCCCAGCAGAGACTAGCTCCATCAAAATCAAAAATGTGATCCAGGATGGGGCCTTCGTCATCAACTGTGTAAAACAAAGCAGGGTTGGGGGTGGAGAGGGAGGGTCTTCCTTTCCACCTAGTTTCCCCAGATAGTCTAACATAGTGGAAAAGCTCGTGGTAAGTCCTGAAGCTACTAAATTAGCCACTCCTTACAATAAAGGAGGGCACCTCTATAAAATTCTCAGCTTTTGTCTTAAGGTATTCCACCATGTCCCTGATCACTTCAAAATACTGGGGAAAACCTCACAGGAATCAACCTGTAATTTCAAGTTGACACGACAACATTCCTCCCCTTACCAATTTTACAGATGCTATTTCCCTTTAAAGAAACAACTCTGTAACAAAACGGACCATCTTACGAATGGCCATTAAGACTGTGGGATCAACTCGAAAGCATGGGATTTTCCCCCACACCAAGCAATTCTCAGACACCAGCTAGATGTCCAACAATTCAACTCAATTCTGACCCTATCTACCTGAAGAAAGCAGTGGATCCCACAGGCTCAGGGCTTCCATCCTACCAGACCCCTCCTCTCCCTCGTAGGTATCAACTGCACCTAAGCAACTTGGACTTCCAAGTGCTCACCTGTGCTTCTGACCCACTGGGTAAAAACCAGAGGTTCTCAGGATCCCTCTTGCATGCAGACTGCTCAAGGCCAGGCTGTTTAACCCAGAATGGCTTCTGAAAGGAAACCAGGTCTGATAGGGCAGGGGATAAGCAGTCTCCTCCTGCTCCATCAGTGACCTACAGCAACCCTCAGCCAGTCACACCTGACCAGGACTTCCACCCCCAAGATGGCAAATAACAGGCTGACCCTGCTCACATAACATGACTGTTTAAAAACATGTAAGAAGTGATTCTATTGTTTAAATATAAAATGCCTTAAAAAAAAAAAAGAATGCAAAGAGGAAGGAAGGGAGGAGGGGGAAAGGAAGCAAAGCAAACAGAAAACAAGTAAGGAATCGTTTCCTCGGCTAGATTAATACATTTTCATATCAAGTAGGAAGGAAGAAAAACACAAAACAGAAAATGACTAAGAAACTACAAAGCACGAGGTGTTTTTTTTTTTTTCATGGACCTAGAGGTTTTCACAGAAGCTCCAGGTTTTTAGAAAGTTGATTCACTTCCTTCTTTCTTTCTGGGCCCACCAAGCCAGCTGATTCACTACGAAGCAATGCAATACTACTCAATCACGAGCTTGGGAGAAAAAGGAAAAAACACCCTAAGAGATGGCTCTCTCTTCACGAAGAGAAGACAACAGTCCTCAAAGGATAAATCAACCGAGACCCGCACAACGGTAAACCCGTTTATTTCTCAGAACTTAGCTTGCCGCTTGATACTCCCATAGAGATGAGGCCGCGCACCACGTCCTTGAGGCCCGAGCACTGTCCACAGGCAGCTCAGTCCGTCAGAGGTCCAAGAGAAACCTCCTGACCTGGGCCAGGTATTTGGGCTTCAAATAGTCCCCCAGTTCCTCCTTGCTGGCCCACACATGACGGCCCTTCTCCACGGCCGGGGAAAAGTCTCCGCTTAGCAGCAGGGCTTTGAAGAAGAAGATCTTGGCCCCGAGGCTGCCCTCCATCCGCACTGCCTGGGGGAACTTGAACTTGTGGTGGCCGCAGGGCGCATTTCCCAGGAACTTGGCTTCCATGTTGTTTTCTGAGGAGGAGGGGAGCGGGGAACAGAATTGGAAGATGAGGATACACCCACCTGTTTACCCTGGTACCCGAAAGCATCTGGGGGTCTCTGTGAGAGCCGCTTCTGGCCTGAGGGGAAATCAGTCCCTGAGCATGAGGACTAGGGTCATTCCTGAAGACCCTCATCTCCTTTCAATCCAAAAGCTCCTGGCCCTTGGGTCCCAGATTCTCTGGGCCCATTCCTCACGCCAAGCTACTGCTCTCAGACTGAAGTCCACAAGGCAGCCTAAACATCACTACCTGGGAGTCAGAGCACTGAGCTTCCAGACTCAGCCCAGTCACCATCTGTTGACGAAGGACCGAGACACTTGGCGTCTGTAAAGAAAAGTTCATCAGCCCTTTTAAAGGGAGTATCATGTGGAAAGTAGGAAAAGGGCCCAATTTGACTGCTGCAAGGTAAAAACCAAAGTTAAAAGGCAAAGAAAAATGGAGGATCTTTGCAATCTATAATAATGGGTTAACAACCCCAATACAGCATTTCAAAGGATGAGGAAATAATGGATCAATTACCAAATGAAACCGGGAGAACGGGCTAGCGAAAAAATAAAACTGGATCACAACCTCACTCCTCATATCCAAATTGACACCCTACAGATCAAAGATCTAACACAAAGTTAAAAATTTCCCAAAAGGTTTGTTCATTCTGAATGATGGTTTCATGGACGTTTAATATTTTCTGAGATTTTCTATATTTTAAAATTCTTCACTAAAGAAAAAAGAAACCATAAGGGTACTGTTTAAAAAAATGTGGAATACTTTCTGTATCATTTTTGAGAGGGGAAGTCCTAACCAAGACACAAAATGCAAAAAAGAAAAGGCATATTTATTTATGTAAAAGTTAAAATCTTTCTGCACAGAAAAATGAAGCATAAAAAAGTCACAGACATAATGACAAACTGGGAAAAATATTTTCGACACACTCAACAAAGGAATATCTTAAGATATGAGTATTAAATAGTACTTAGAAATCAATGAGGAAAAAGCCAGCAACTCTGAAAGAAAAATGAACCAAGCATGTGAACAAGTTCCCATGAAAATAAATTACCAATGAACTATAAACTCCTAAAGATGTTTAACTCATTAATAACTCAATAAATACAAATTAAAACAACAAAGACATACCATTACTATTTAAGTTCAAAAACTTCAAGCAGTACACTGCTCGTCAAGGATAAAGAAGACTGGGTTCTCTCAAATGTATGTGGGATATAATTAGTATAACTGCTCTACTTGGCAAGAGATATCAATTTTAATTATACAAACCCTTTGATCTAACAATTCTGCTTCTAGAATTTCACCCTCCTCGATATGTTTATTTGTGCATGTGAGCAAAGGAGTGTACACAGATGTTCACTGCAGCTTTTTTTTTTTAATAAAACCAACAGACTGGTTAAACAAACTGCAGTACATACATATATGAAACATTACACTGGTGTTAAAAGTATAAGATATGTCTTCACTTGCTGATACAGAGACATGCTTAAAAGCTGTGTATAAGAAAAGGAAGGCATGTAACCATCTGTGTATATACATATGACATATGTGCATGTTTAAGTGTGCCCACTTCATGAAAAAAGGAACAGATGAAATAAGTATGTGCTTGCAATTTATAAAAGGATACACAAAAAAACTATTCATGGTGGTTGCCTCTAAGACGGGAAAATTACCTATTACTTCTTACAGTTCTATTTACCAGACACTGTGTGATACTTTTTCACCACATACAGTGAATTGCTTTTGTCAATATTAAAAACAGTAACACCACCATCAGCAGTAGATGAGGAATCCACGTACGACATGAGCTCACCTACAATATAAAACGTCAGCAGTGGGGTCTATGGGTGGTGGGATTACACTGGCATGTTTCTTTACACTTTTCTGAATTTTCCACTTAATTCAATGGATACATATTACTTTTCTATGACCTGGGGAAATGGATTAAATTAAACCAAAAAGGGGGAAAGAAACGGTTCATTATAAACATGAGCAAAGAATCTAAACAAGCGGTTTGCTGAAAAAGAAAAACCAATAGCCACGTGAAAAATATGCAGAGATGGCCACTCTAACCAGGAAACCACTAATCCAAATAAACAAACTACCTAATTAAAAAAAAAAGGAAACTGCTGATCTAAAGATCATTCTTTTTACTGACTGGACGGGCAAAAATTTTAAAAGTATGTTCTGCAGGGCACTTTGGTGGTACCTTATCAAAATCTTAGATGTGTCCATCCTTGACCATTAATTTCACTTCTAGGAATTCCATCTTGCAGAAATACCTGGGAAGTGTGCCAAACGGATGGAAAGGAACAGACTCTTTTTTATACTTATGAGCTGCCTGAGCTTTCTCTTGTCATTTTAATTATTTCATGTTATTTATGATTTTAATGAATTTGAAGTAAATCAAGCTATTTCATTTTCTATGCACCTATAACAAACCAATATATCCTTTCACTCTTCTTTATGGCAACGGGAATGTTCAAGGGAGGAAAGCATGGTACCAAGGGGAGGAGAGACCCTTTCCACGTGGTGCCCAGCAGGCGAAACTGAGCACTGTGAAGGAGCAGGAGAAAGCTGAGGATCGGAGCTCAATGATCCTGGGAAGAAACCCAGCCACCAACTTTTGCGTGACGGCTGAGGAAGCCTGGGGCGCAGCAAAGGCCCCTCCTGTTTTCCCATTTCACTCCACCATCTCACTCCCTCTCCTGTGGCCACACAGGCTGCTGGCGGGACAGGATCAACGAGGCGCACAGAGGCTGCTGTTTCATTAGCAGTACTCACACTGGCGGCAGAGTCAGAACAGGAGTTGTGTGCTTACACTACCGTATCATTTACTCATTAAACTTTCAGCATTGGAAGAAAAGCTATGACAAACCTAGACAGCATATAAAAAAACAGAGACATCACTTTACCAACAAAGATCCGTCTAGTCAAAGCCATGGTTTTTCCAGTAGTCATGGACGGATGTGAGAGCTGGACCAGAAAGAAGGCTGAGCGCTAAAGAATTGATGCTTTTCAACTGTGGTATTGGAGAAGACTCTTGAGAGTCCCTTGGACAGCAAGGAGATCAAACCAGTCAATCCTAAAGGAAATCAATCCTGAATATTCTTTGGAAGGACTAATGCTGAAGCTGAAGCTCCAATACTTTGGTCACCTGATGCAAAGAGCCAACTCACTGGAAAAAACCCTGATGCTGGCAAAGACTGAGGGCAAGAGGAAAAGGAGGCCACAGAGGATGAGATGGGAGGATGGGCCTGCAGCCATACCACCCTAACGCGCCCGATCTTGTCTGATCTCAGGAGCTATGCAGGGTCATGCCTGGGTAACATTTGGATAGGAGATGGTTGGATGGTATCACCGACTCAATGGACATGAGTTTGAACAAACTCCGGGAGATGGTGAAGGACAGGGAAGTCTGGTGTGCTGCAGTCCAAGGAGTTACAAAGAGTCAGACACGACTCGGCAAATGAACAACAGCAAATATTCAGCAAGTACCTACCCTGTGCCAGGTACTCTGCTGAGAACTGGGATGACTGAAAGGACAAAATCCTATCCGTATTTCCAGAACTCTGGCTGAGAAGAAACCATCTGTTAATCAACAATTAAATAGCAATGCAATGAAGAGCATCTTCTTCACTAGGACATAAGCCCCCAGAAGGCCCACGTCGCATCCTGTAGATCACTGTGACCCCACTGCCCGGACAGTGACCAGCAGCAAGTAGGCACAGAGAAAATGTCTGCTGTATAAACTGAGTAGGGGTACTCTGTGAGTGTTACTGGAGCCTAGAGGGAGGAGTCGATCTCTCTACCCAGAAGGTTCTACCACAGAAGGTAGAAGGTACGAGCTGAGTTTTAAAAACCGAGCAGCCGGATGAGGTAGGACCAAAGCTTTGTTTTGGACAGGCTGGCCCCAACCACACAAGAAATACCACATTATTCAAAAGGTTTGCTAGGTTTGGACTTAGAACATACACGAATGAACAGCAAGATGAAGACTGATGAGCTTGGGACCAGAGCAAAAAGGATGCACAGGCCATGCTCAAAAGTCTGTGTTACAGGAAACCCTTTAAGATTTCGAGCAGAGAAGTGACAAGAGATTTGTGTTTTAAAAGGCTTATGCTGGCGGCACTGAAAATGACAACACAAAAGCAAGAAGGGGGCTTGTGTGGTGTCTACCTCAATACTCCAGGGTGGCGGTTCTCAACCACAGAGATTCCACAAACCAGGTAATTTCCGGCAGTATTGAGTCATCTTTGGTTGTTACACTAGGGACAACCAAAGTAGTGCTACTACAATCAAGCAGATAGAGGCCAGAGATGTTGCAGTAAATAACCTAGACAGAACCACATAAGCCCCCACGAAGAATGATCCTGCCCCAAATTTCCAGAGTGCCAAGGCAAGGCTCAGAAACTATGATCTAGTGGGAAGTGAAAAGACTCCCTGAAGAGCTGCAGGCGCAAAGATGGGACTCTTTAGAACAGACCAGGTAGGATTCAGGAACCTAGGGGATGCTAGGATGAGGTCACAGATAACCCTGAGGTGTCTGGTTGGGTGAATATATTAAGCGGTGCTGCCAACAAGCAAGGCTGCAAGGACAAAAAGAGAAGCAGGCTGAGACAGGCAGGAGCATCAATTCTGAATGAACAAATTTTAAAACCTCCACAGGGGCAAGGAACAGCACAGGGATAGCGCCTTCAACCTCTGTCCCCGAAGGGTGTTTCTGCAGGCTCCTAGATGCGTGAACTGTCCCCCACGCTGATGCTTTATGTTAAGCAAATGAGCCTCTTTCAGAGAAAGTCTGGGTGTTTCTTGGTTGGCTGTCTCTGTGCTGGGCCCTGGGACGGAATCTAAACCACAGGTCTGTTAGGGACAACACATACTGTCAAATGCCGAGCAATATGGAGCAAAAGATAATTACCAACCAAGGTATCTTCCTCAAAATGATACCAGATGGCCAAGGAATGAAAAATCTCATTTTCAGTGAGACACCCCAAATTCCAAGTCCATTTTAGAAGGCAGTGGGTCACCTAAAATCAGGTTCTGCAATACTTCTTCAGGATCTGAACTATGAGATGAGGAGAGAACTGAGTATGGCAGACCATACTCTACATGTGACAGAATTAAAGAAATTCCATGTCCTCTAAATTCTTAGCACAAAAATGCTGCCTTAAAGGGGGCGGGGGGGGGGGGGGCGGGAGAGAAGTGACTATGGAAAACAGATCAGGAAAAGATTCATACCATGTAGAGGCACACACAAAAAATCCACTTCCTCAAGAATCCATAAATTTTAAGAATTAAAAATGTAGGAAAGGAGAAAACCATGTAACTAATCCTGATCACTTTTGTGACAGGAAACCACGAACCATGAGAAATGAAACTCTGAGTGCCATAAAAACTGAAGCACATTTTACTCTAAGTGTTGATTACGAGATCCCTCTGGAACAATAGCTTCACTGGTGCTCTGAGTGGAGAGACAGAAATGCCACTGAAGGGAAGGCGAGTAGAACCTATTAAGGCAACAGGACCTCTCATAGCTATGATGACAAAATATTTTGATACTGTGCCCCAAAGAAGATCTGGGCCACTTAAGCCAGAAAAAGTACTAGAATCACCTATTTTTATAGATTGAAAAATTTTAGAGAATGCAAAGCTGGAAACTGAGCAGTGAATGTTTTGCACTTTGTTGGGAAGACAAGCTTTAGTGAGCAGAGGCTGAAACTCTCCATCCTTCAGGTAGGCTCCTCTGTCCATGGGATTCTTCAGGCAAGAATACTGGAGTGGGTTGCCATTCTCTTCTCCAGGGGATCTTCCCAACCCAGCAATTGAACCCCGGGTCTCCTGAATTGCAAGCAGATTCTTTACCACAAAGCCACCTGGGAAGCCCAAGTTTCCATTAACCTACTATTAAAAGCCAGGCCCACAGTCAGCCTGCAAATCCTGAGGCTAAGTCTGGAGTGTGTCTTGCGGGATTTAGCAGTGAGGCAGCGAGCTCACCTGAGAGTGTGGCCAGGGTTCGCTCAGCTGTTCGGCGGAGCGTCTCCCCAGGTTGCCACTCGGCCTGGGGCAGCACCCAAACGTCCTGGTCTCCAAGCTTCTCTTGGACCAACAGAATAAGGTTCCTGTCAAGCTTCCGGTGCAGCGAGCTTCGGTCATTCTTTACGTCGGCATCTGTACAGAAGAGATGAGGGGGTCACAGGAGACAGGAGGAGCATGTTCTGCCAGAACCAAAGAGATTAGGGTTTTAGGATCCTCCTTTAAGGCACGGCCACAATCTCTGCCCTCAAAGAACTTATAACCAAATTAGAACCCTGACCCCATCTCTCTAATTCTGACCTCTCTCAGGATAGAGTCCCATAATCTTGAGCAAACTAAAATTTAACAAGAAGAAACCCAAAGCTGCACTCTTCCTTTGAAGAGTAGAACACAAAGTACTTTGAGCCTTTGGAAAAGAAGCAATTCCCAGACACTACTAATTCTTTGGTTTTGACACTATTACTGACTTAACCAGTCTCTACTTCAGTTTTCACTGTGAAACAAGAATAAAAGAACTTAACCCCCTGCTTTGGGAGGGATTTCAGACAAAACACAGGAAACGAGTGGGTAAGATTTAACTTCCCCTACTCTCAGTCCCAAACTAGGAGTTAAATCCAGATAACATTCTTGAGGCCTAACTGAGACACAGCTGTCCCAACACCCATGTGTGCTCAGTCGCTCAGTCGTGTCTGACTCTACGCCACCCCAAGGACTGTAGCCCACCAGGCTCTTCTGTCCATGGCGTTTTCCAGGCAGGAATACTGAAGAGGGTTGCCGTTTTCTTCTCCAGGCGATCTTCCCAACCCAGGGATCAAACCCACCTCTCCTGCAGCTCCTGCACTGCCAAGCAGATTCTTTACCACCGAGCCACCTGGAGAGTTCCCTCAAAAACCACACATCCCACTCAAAAATAACACAGACTTTTAAAATATTATATTAGGATGGATGTGAAGAACTGTGAAAAGAATTTTCCTCCCATGTTAAAAAGTTTTATCATTTGAAATTACTATTTAAAACACAAAGCAGAGAGTAAGCAAGTATTCTTTATTTGCAAGTCAGAATATCCACCCTCCTACCTCTAACTGGCCTGAAGAGACCACAAACCTGTTATTCGAGCTCCAGGTTTGAACTGCAGGAATTTCTGCTCCCACATGTCTTCCAAGTCCTGCACCAGCAATATATTCTTCTCATCTTCTTCTTCATAAAGGTCACTTTTTTTCTTTGCCAGTTGCTCGGCTTCATCCAAAGCACGAAGTTCATGGTCTGAATACAGGCTTCTCTCTATCTCAATCTGGGAAAATTAAAAGAGCAAAAATCTACCCCAAACTGGGAAAATTAAAAGAAAAGAAAAATAATAAAACACAGTTACAGTGCACTTGACAGATTCAGAAGTTTACCACCCAACATAACCAGACACACAATCAAAACACCACAAGGAAAACAGAGGAAAAAAGTCACCTGCCCTTTGGGCTTGAGCTATATTTTCTGAAATATTAAAATGCATTCAAACATCAAGACTGCCACAACCAAGAGAGGACTAGGACAGGCAGTGCCTGCCCACTCACCACCCTCCAGTCATGCCAGTCTTTGACCAGAATCTCACTCTCCATGAACTATCCTGCCTCAGGCATTTTACAGATGCTATTCCTTCTTTCTAGAATGTTTTCCCTCATGCTCTCCTGGGAGATTCCTACTCATTCTTCATATCCCAATTTAAATATCACTTATTTTAAAAGATATTCCTTGACACCTTCCATTAAAATCAAATTAACATCCCTGTTAAACACTATTACAGTACCCTGTGTTTTCCTTTAAAACATTTACCAGAGACTGCAATTCCATAACCATGTGGTTATTTGGTTATTGATTGACAACCCCTCCACCAAACTGAATCCCTCTGAGAACCAGTGCTATGTTGTCTTACTCACCACTGCATCCCTACACACTTAGTACAGTGTTTGCACAAAGTGGGTGCTAAATGATTAAAAGGTGATTTTAAAATGTTTGCAGAGTAAACAAAAAAAAAAATGTTTGCAGAGTAAGTTAACAAGCCAAATAAAAAGCACCGAAATTAAGTCTGTATCTCTCAGTAACTAAGACAAAAACGCCTCAGGTTCTAGGTAGACATAATATCTTTAGTCGCTACTTATGGGGATTTAGGACCTTCACTGCCAATACACAGTTTTTGTCCATATTTCTTCACTTACCCCTCACATAAACAGACTCTATCACAGACATCTTAGACGGATGTGCCCTGTGCCTTTTCTTTAAGTTCATCACATGACAAAGCTTTTTTCCTCTCTAAACTGTCAACCACCTATGATGGGGACTGAATCCGTCTTGTTCACCATCGCACCCCTATATGTCGAAAAAAAATGAAGAGCCTCTCCAGAGAGCTGCCGAAAGTAACGACAAAGAAGATCAATGAAAACGACGTGCCTCTTACTGAACGCGTACTACCTACCGCAAGAACCCAGAAGGTAGGTACCATTTTGCAGGAAAGCATACCGAAGCTCAGAGAAGTGAAGGGACTTGCCCAAAGTCACACAAGATAATCAGCGGGCCAGGATCAAACCCAAGCCAGCGTACCTCTACTGCGTCCCCAACTGCACCTAGAAACCACAACCCGCACCTCAACACACCTGCTGTAGCAGAGCTGCCATCTCTTCCTGCATCGGGGTCAATTGCTTCGAGACCACCGGTGGCCGCTGCAGGCACAACGCACCCAACAGGCGCCATGGAGATGAGCTATTCGACGGTGCAGCCGCAAGGGTCAAGCTACGAGAATTCAGACTCCAGGGTCTCTCGAACCGCCGCCAGCACCTCGCCAGCCATAACACAGTCCGCCTTGTGGGCGCCGCCATCTTTCAAACTTCCCACAACGCACCGCGGTTCCCGGCGAGGTCCTGAGCCAATCCTATGTTCCCACAAGGCAGCGCGGGAGCAGCATGACGGGAAGAGCTAAGCCCCCCCCCCCCCCACCAGGACTACTAGAACGAACCATTCCAATATGGAAGGGTGGGCGAAGACCTCCTTAGAAAACTAGGAGAAGGGGGAAGGATTCCCAGTCGACACTAGCAACTATAGTTATTATTGAGCACTTAAGTTGGAATAAAAGTCTTTGATGTACGTTTGATGTGCGTTTGGTGTACGTTAGAAAGGGGAATCAGGTGGCGTTTCCCCTGCGCCCTCCCCCACAAGCTCGTGGTGCTGGATCCACTCCAGCCCCGCCCAGCTCCGCGGCCGCCTTAGACGGGGTCTGACTGAGGTCAACTCAAGTCATGCAGGTTGTAAGAAACGCTGGGTCCTGGTTCTTTCGGTCATGGGCTTGGCCGCCGACGACCAGGTAAGGTGGTTACTCATTCCGAGCCTACAGTCACCCAGGAATGCGCTCCTTCCCGTGTCCCATGAACTACTTGGACTCCTGGAGTCCAGTTAGTACTCGCTTAGGCCTGGACCTCCCTGAGCTTTCCTTCTCCGCAGGATCGTGGCCGGAGTGCCGGGCCCCACCATCCACATGAGCGCCCAACAGATGCAGGACGCAGCGGCCAAGCAGGAGGTTGAGAAGGCGGAGACTCCGGCTCCAGCTCCGAGCCACAGCAGCTTCAGGTAAGGGCCACTTAGTTCTGGCCCTCGGGCGACTGGCACCACCTTCCAGGGTCAGAACACCAGTGAATTCTCAACTGTCACTGTGGAACCTTATGCAGATTAACTTTAGAGCCTCAGCTCTTTCCTCTGAAAGTGGAAAGAATACTGAAAGAGGTTGTAAGGATCAGTGAACTTTTGATGAATGAATGGATGTTGAAGGTGTATAATAAATATCACCACTTTTGTTTCTCTCGTGGAATCAGGGTCTCCGATACAAAATGAGGCGGAAGCGGTAGTAAGGTAAAGGTTGTTATGCTCTTTTTAGAGTTGGTCTAAGGTCCAGAGTGGTTTTTGTACTCAGCCTCAGCTAGTAACTGGCATCTTGCTTCCCGCCAGGGACACTGTCTCTGTGTGCTAGTTGTACTTCACATGCATTTAGCAGACTTTTACTAAGAACTTGCTTGGTTCTGAGGGTACAAATGCAGAAGATCATTCCTTCGCACCAGTAGTTCACAGTCAACCAGGAAAGACAAACATGCACTCGTTTTCACCATAATCTGATCAGTAGTTTACTGGAAGTAAGAGCTGGTTGCTTTGAAGTATGAAAGCATGAGTGTCTAACTCCTGAGGAAATCAGACAAGAGTGCCAGGAAAATAATGTGATGCTAAGACCTGAATTGAATGGGAGTTCAGCTGGAAAAGATGAAAGGTCATTTTATGCAAAGCTAACAGTCTGTGTTAAGGCACGCAGTGTGAATGTTGTGTAGTCAAGTGTGTGTGTGAAGGTAGATGAGGCCAGCAGGGTGAGAAGGAATCAGAATGCTAAGAGCCTTATCTGTAGATAACGAGCAGTCTAAAACCGTTGGCCTAAACAACTGGAAAGATAGAGTTGTCATTAATCTGTAGGAGCTTGGATTTGTGTGTTTAAGATATTTGATTAACATCCAAGTGGAGATACAATATTGGCTATTAGAGATGAAGTTCAAGGGACAGACGTGAGTCAGACATAGACATTTAGAAGACTCATCACTTAGATGATGTTTAAAACCATAAGATACAGTGGGGCGATACAGTGGGGCTTTTACTCACTCCCCACTGTGGTCAGTGGGGAGCTGCCAAAGGAATTGAAGCAAAGATTGTGTTGTGGTCACTCAACAATGTCAGACACATCAATGTTCAGGGTGTTGGGGACACATCAATGACCAAACACACAAAAATCCCCACCCCGGTGAAACTTAAATTCAAGTGAATAGGGGACAGTAAATAGAAAATAAGAAAAAGAAGTATGACAGATTATAGGAGTGTGTATAGTGTCTGAGCAAGAAGGCCACCGTGGAGTGAGAAGTAAAAATGAGGGGTGAGGACAAGAGGGTGAGGGGTGCGTCAGGCATTCAGGGTTATATCCTGTTGTCCGTTACGGGCCATTGTGACAACTTCACTTTATTCTGAGAGAAATGGGAAGTCACTGGAGAATTCTAAATGGAGGGTTGACATGCTCATGCTTACATTTTAAAGGGTCCCTTTGGCCACTGCATTGATATTAAACTGTAGGAGAGCTAGGCTGGAAGATGGGAGAAGTCTCCTAAACAATCAGAAGACTACTGAGATAATCTCAGTGAGAAGCGATGCTGGCAGGGTCCAGAGTGGCAGCTGCAGAGATTGTATAAATGGTCAGACAGATGCACTTAGAAGGGGGGAACCAACAGAATTTGTTAATGTAAGGTATGAGAAAAGGAGACAGCTGAAGGGACATTCTAAAATTTGTGGCCTAAACAACTGGAAAGATAGAGTTGTCGTGAAGATGGGGAAGACTACAGGAGCTTGAATTGTAGATTTGAGATGTTTAATTAACATCCAAGTAAAGATACAATATTCACGATTAGAAATGGAATTGAGGGCACAGATCTGAATTAGACGTACACATTTGGAAGACTCATTCCATAAATGATTTCTTTTTTCCCTACATGGCTTTTGAGATTTTAGTTCCCCAATTAGGGATCGAACTGAGGGCCCCTGGCAATGAGAGCACCAAGGAATTCCCTAGGTGATGTCTAAAATCATAAAATACAAGATCATCAAGAGAGAAAGGGTGGATAAAGTGAAGGAGAGGTCTAAGGACTGAACCCTGGAGCCTCTGGCATTTGGGGAGATTTGGGGAGCTGAGGAGGAATCAGCAGAAGAGAAAGAAGGAACCTCCAGAGAGGTACTAAAAAAAATCCTGGAGAGACTTTTTTTTCCCTGTGATTCAAAAGTAGATCAGCTATATCAAATGCTGCTGATATGATTGACTGGTCCATAGACTGATGACCAAACTGCTCGTAGGACTTAATATTGTGAATTTGTGGTGACCTTGAGTAGGGCACATTTGGTGGAGTGTGAGGGGCTAAGGTTTGAATGGTGTGGGTTCAGGGAGAATAGAAGACAGGAAGAAGCAGCAGGTATGGTCAGTCCTTTAAGGTGGGTAGAGAAACGGGCAGGAGCTCAAGGAGGCTTTGGCATCCAGGGGCTTCTGTTTGGTTTTAGACTAGGGAAATGACTGCATGTTTTGCCGATGGGAATGATGCAGCGGAGAGGGGGAAGAATGCAGATGCTGGAGCAGGAACGTTGACGGAGTGCTGTCCTTGAGGGGCGGACACACAAGTGGAGCGTCCTCATGGGAGGCAAGGCAGAGATTGGGGGCACAGCTGTTCAGTGGAGGGAGCTGAAGGAGAACCTGATTGCTTCTATTTCTTTGTGAAGGTCATCAGCTGGCAGCGAGGAAGCAGGAAGGAGTTGAAGGTCTGAGGGGACAAAAGAAAGTGCAAACTAGTCATCTAGGACAGTGAACGGGTAATTGAACAGGGGCTGCGCTGTGTAATTGCCAGCAGCACTGAGGGCCCACTTGACGCTGGAAGTCATTAAAGTAAACCAGCAGTTCTCGGCCTGGGGCCTCTGTGTCTCCAAGGGGACTCTTAGCAACATCTGAAGACATTTTGGTTGTCACAGCATAAGGGTCAGTACCTAGTTGGGTAGAGGCCAGGGATGCTGCTAAACACCCTCACAGTGCTCAGGACAGCCCCCCAGCCAAAGAATCCCCCTGCCCAAAATGTCAGTAGTACTGAAGTCAAGAAACCATGACATGGAGAGAGGACAGGAGGCACTCCTGTGTATTTTCCTCTGGCCACCTGTGCCGGCTGTTCTCAGTCCCTGTCAGCCGTTTGAAACAGATGCTGTGTGTGCAGACGTGGTTTGAGGATGGGTGTGCAGAGCCAGCAGAGCAGCACCAGAAAGCTTTGTCTTTCTTTTTCCTGGGCTGCCTTGGAGTGAACCACTTGTTCGCTGGACGTGGGAAGCTTAAAAGCTTGATCGTGTCTGCACCCTCAGTTAAATGGTTCAAGCTCTGGATCCTTTCTGGTTTGAAAATCTTGCCCTATTAAAGGCATCATGGTGGCGTGTTCAGACTTCAGAAGGCTTAAGTGTTTGACCTGCAAGTCCATAGAAGAAATCATTAATGGGGAACTTATAAGGTTTTAAACATTAATGTCATCTCAGAGCCTCATACTCTGTCCAAGGAGATCCCTAGGACAGAGGAGCCTGGCAGGCTTTAATTTAGTCCATGGGGCCGCAAAGAGTCCCACATGACTGAGTGACTGAATATCTCAGCGCATAACTGATAAGCTGGCAACCTGCCAAGATGCTAAGTCATCTCTAAGATCAGGCAGAGCAGGAAAGAATACTCTTGTAACTCCTGAATACCCAACCGGGTTACAGTTTTGTTACGTATCTCCAGGAAAGCCAGTGGAGAGGATGATGCTCAGATAATAGTATTCCCTGGATCAGAACCCACTGTAGTTCCGGTGGCTGAGCAGGTACAAACGTGGATCTGATCTGTGCATGCGGGCAGAGTGCAGCAGCAGGTTTGCTTGAGTCTGGAATTAAAAAAGCGCAGGTGGTGACCAAAACTCTGAACTGAGGTAAAGCCCCTCGGCCCAAGGCCTGGCTTCCCTGTCCCCCTATCAGTACTGTTTCTCCACCTGAAATGAAAAGTCCTGAGCAAGAGATAGCCAGAGGACAGAGCAGACTAGGGGATGGGGGGCGGGGGGTCTTCAACTCAGCAGTGTCTGGACCAGTGTGCTGAACCCCTGAGTTCACATCTGACTCACCTGGGCTACTTCAGAAATGGATTCTCAAGTCCCATCCAGAAATCTAGGGCAGAATGGAAGCATCAGAGTCACATGGTCCTGCCATTCAGCCAACCCTGATATCCACTGGTCTTCGTAGGGGCTGGCAAGTTGGCCCCTACCCACCCACCTGTGGCCAGTTGACTGATTTTTATAAATAGAACTTTAGTGGAACATAGGCACACCTATTAACTCACTGTTGTCTGTGGCTGTTTCTGCACCTTAGTGGCAAAGTTGTGTAGTTGCAACAGAAGCAACATGGCCAGCAAAGCCTAAAATATTTACCCTCTGGCCCTTTACAGAAAAAGTTTGCAGGCCTCCACTCTAGGGGATGCTGGAATTTTTTTTTTTTTTAACAATAGTGATCTTTATAAGTATCATTAAGTTTATTTTGTCTTTGAAAGATAGTCAAGGTATCTGTGGTTGATACAGCAAGAAATAGAGGTTTGACTTAACTTTTTAAATAATTTTATTTATTTATTTTATTATTTATTTTTGGCTATACTAGGTCTTTGTTGCTACGTGGGCTTTTCTCTTGTTGCTACTGTCTAGTTGCCGTGTGGAGGCTTCTTGTTGCAGTGGTTTCTCTTGTTGTGGAGCGCAGGCTCTAGGGTGTTCAGACTTCTGTAGTTGTGGCTCCTGGGCTCTGGAGCACAGGCTCAATAGTTGGGGCACACGGGTTTAGTTGCCCCGAAACATGTGGAATCCTCCCAGATCAGAGATCAAACCTGTGTCTCCTGCACTGGCAGGCGGATTCTTCACTACTGAGTTACCAGGGAAGCCCGTTTTTTTTTAATTGCAGAAGGAATAGTACCCCACGTCCAAGGTAAGAGAAACCCAAGTAAGACAGTAGGTGTTGCGAGGGGGCATCAGAGGGCAGACACACTAAAACCATAATCACAGAAAACTAGCCAATCTGATCATAGGACCACAGCCTTGTCTAACTCAGTGAAACTAAGCCATGCCGTGTGGGGCCACCCAAGACGGTCGGGTCATGGTGGAGAGGTCTGACAGAATGTGGTCCACTGGAGAGGGAATGGCAAACCGCTTCAGTATTCTTGCCTTGAGAACCCCATGAACAGTATGAGAAGGCAAAAATGATAGAATACTGAAAGAGGAACTCCCCAGGTCGGTAGGTGCCCAATATGCTACTGGATATCAGTGGAGAAATAACTCCAGAAAAAATGAAGGGATGGAGCCAAAGCAAAAACAATACCCAGTTGTGGATGTGACTGGTGATAGAAGCAAGGTCCGATGCTGTAAAGAGCAATATTGCATAGGAACCTAGAATGTTAGGTCCATGAATCAAGGCAAATTGGAAGTGGTCAAACAGGAGATGGCAAGACTGAACGTCGACATTCTAGGAATCAGCGAACTAAAATGGACTGGAATGGGTGAATTTAACTCAGATGACCATTATATCTACTACTGTGGCCAGGAATCCCTTAGAAGAAATGGAGTAGCCATCATGGTCAACAAAAGAGTCTGAAATGCAGTACTTGGATGCAATCTCAAAAACGACAGAATGATCTCTGTTCATTTCCAAGGGAAACCATTCAGTATCACAGTAATCCAAGCCTATGCCCCAAGCAGTAATGCTGAAGTTGAACAGTTCTATGAAGACCTACAAGACCTTTTAGAACACCCCAAAAAAATGTTCTTTTCATTATAGGGGACTGGAACGCAAAAGTAGGAAGTCACGAAACACCTGGAGTAACAGGCAAATTTGGCCTTGGAGTACGGAATGAAACAGGGCAAAGACTACTAGAGTTTTGCCAAGAGAACGCACTGGTCATAGCAAACACTCTCTTCCAACAACACAGGAGAAGACTCTACACATAGACATCACCAGATGATCAACACCGAAATCAGATTGATTATATTCTTTGCAGCCAAAGATGCAGAAGCTCTATACAGTCAGCAAAAACAAGACCGGGAGCTGACTGTGGCTCAGATCATGAATTCCTTATTGCCAAATTCAGACTCAAATTGAAGAAAGTGGGGAAAACCACTAGACCATTCAGGTATGACCTAAATCAAATCCCTTATGATTGTACAGTGGAAGTGAGAAATAGATTTAAGGGACTAGATTTGATAGAGAAGAGTGCCTGATGAACTATGGATGGAGGTTCATGACATTGTACAGGAGACAGGGATCAAGACCATCCCCATGGAAAAGAAATGCAAAAAAGCAAAATGGCTGTCTCAGGAGGCCTTACAAATAGCTGTGAAAAGAAGAGAAGCGAAAAGCAAAGGAGAAAAGGAAAGATATTCCCATTTGAATGCAGAGTTCCAAAGAATAGCCAGGAGAGGTAAGAAAGCCTTCCTCAGTGATCAGTGCAAAGAAATAGAGGAAAACAACAGATTGGGAAAGACTAGAGATCTCTTCAAGAAAATTAAGAGATACCAAGGGAACATTCCATGCAAAGATGGGTTCTATAAAGGACAGAAATGGCATGGACCTAACAGAAGCAGAAGACATTAAGAAGAGGTGGCAAGAATACACAGAAGAACTGTACAAAAAAGATCTTCACGACCCAGATAATCACGATGAAGTGATGACTCACTTAGAGCCAGACATCCTGGAATGTGAAGTCAAGTGGGCCTTAGAAAGCATCACTACAAACAAAGCTAGTGGAGGTGGTGGAATTCCAGTTGAGCTATTTCAAATCCTGAAAGATGATGCTGTGAAAGTGCTGCACTCAATATGCCAGCAAATTTGGAAAACTCCTCAGTGGCCACAGGACTGGAAAAGGTCCGTTTTCAGTCCAGTCCCAAAGAAAGGCAATGCCAAAGAATGCTCAGACTACCGCACAATTGCACTCATCTCACACGCTAGTAAAGTAATGCTCAAATTCTCCAAGCCGGGCTTCAGCAATACGTGAACCATGAACTTCCAGATGTTCAAGCTGGTTTTAGAAAAGGCCGAGGAACCAGAGATCAAATTGCCAACATCCACTGGATCATCGAAAAAGCAAGAGAGTTCCAGAAAAACATCTATTTCTTCTTTATTGACTATGCCAAAGCCTTTGACTGTGTGGATCACAATAAATTGTGGAAAATTATGAAAGAGATGTGAATACCAGACCACCTGACCTGCCTCTTGAGAAACCTATATGAAGGTCAGGAAGCAACAGTTAGAACTGGACATGGACCAACAGACTGGTTCCAAATAGGAAAAGGAGTACATCAAGGCTGTATATTGTCACCCTGCTTATTTAATTTATATGCAGAGTACATCATGAGATGTAGCTGGGCTACAGAAAGGCTGGGCTGGAAGAAGCACAAGCTGGAATCAAGATTGCCGAGAGAAATATCAATAACCTCAGATATGCAGATGACACCACCCTTATGGCAGAAAGTGAAGAGGAACTAAAAAGCCTCTCGATGAAAGTGAAAGAGGAGAGTGAGAAAGTTGGCTTAAAGCTCAAAATTCAGAAAATTAAGGTCATAGCATCTGGTCCCATCACTTCATGGGAAATAGATGGGGAGACAGTGGAAACAGTGTCAGACTTTATTTTTTTGGGCTCCAAAATCACTGCAGATGGTGATTGCAGCCATGAAATTAAAAGACGCTTACTCCTTGGAAGGAAAGTTATGACCAACCTAGACAGCATATTAAAAAACAGAGACATTACTTTGCCAACAAAGGTCCCTCTAGTCAAGGCTGTGGTTTTTCCATTGGTCATGTATGGATGTGAGAGTTGGACTGTGAAGAAAGCTGAGCACTGAAGAATTGATGCTTTTGAACTGTGGTGTTGGAGATGACTCTTGAGAGTCCCTTGGACTGCAAGGAGATCCAACCAGTCCATCCTAAAGGAAATCAGTCCTGGGTATTCATTGGAAGGACTGATGCTGAAGCTGAAACTCCAATACGTTGGCCACCTCATACAAAAAGTTGACTTATTGGAAAAGACCCTGATTCTGGGAGGGATTGGGGGCAGGAGGAGAAGGGAACGACAGAGGATGAGATGGCTGGATGGCACCACCAACTCGATGGGCATGAGTTTGAGTAAACTCCCGGAGTTGGTGATGGACAGGGAGGCCTGGCATGCTGCGATTCATGGGGTCGCAAAGAGTCGGACACCACTGAGCGGCTGAACTGAACTGATAGAGGACTGAAGAGAGTGATCTGATTATACTAGAAGAGATAGGATGGGGAGTATATATTAAGTTCTCTTTCCAGCAGAAAGTCATTAGTTATGTCCAGAGTCAGCAACTCGGGGAAACAGCCACTGAAGGACTGTGTTCACAGATACCGTGTTCTGTCAGCACCAGAAGGGTTGGGAGGCAGCAACCTCAGGAGCAGGTCAGGGCAGAGGGCTGCTGTCTTTTGTTACCAGTTTGTCTATGCTGTTGGCTTTTTTTTTAAACTATGTGTATTTTTTTTTTAATTGAAAAACACATATCAAAACAACTTTACCTAAAATTTTTCTTCTAATTGCAGCATTTACCCTCCAGTTCCAGGACAGGAGAGCTCTCTGAGGTGGGCAGGAAAGAAATTCGAGGAGATCCCAATCGCACACATTAAAGCATCCTACAACAAGTAAGTGGGGCAGGGACTCCTGGGCAGGGCTGGGGCGGAGGCTTCTTTCCCCTCTAGGGGGGCGGGCGAGTCACATGGGTCCTGGTGCACAGCTCCCAGTATTCCTCCCCGTTTGGGGCAATCTCCTCTCTCTCTAAAGTTGATTCAGAATCAATGGAAGTGTGAACTGGGTGCCCATATCATATTGTTAAAGATTCCTTTGCTATCCTTGGGAATTGTGTTTTCTGGTTCTGCTCCAGAACTAGAGTATATCTTAGGGCCAGAAAGTCTTCCCATGAAAGTGTAGTTGTTAAGTGTTGGTACTGCGGATGGATGATTAGTAAATGAGGGAGATTATTTCAGAATATAGGATTTACTAACAAACTAAGCAAAGGGAAACCTCCAAATAAGGGTCGACTTAAAGTATTTGGCTTTGGTCCACTGTGGACCAGATCTCTGCCTTTGTGGGGCTGAGCGAAGTTGGAAGATTCGTGTTCTGTGTGGCTCTCAGATGGTGCTAGGGAAGTTCCCAACTGTGTGTTGGCAGCGGAAAGCTTGCTGATATCAGTGACATCCTCACACACCAGCCCCCACTTAGAGGTGAGGTTGTTATTTGGTCAGCAGTGGCCTGCGAAGCAATTTAGAGAACAGTACAAGAGACGGTGGGTGGTCAGGGCTAGAGGGTGGGGTGCTGGCGAAGTGCCGTAGGAGGCGTTTCAGCTGTCATCTTACATGCCCAGAGTCAGAGCCCCTGGGTGTTCCTGTCTTAGGCTGATAAGGGAATAGGTTAGCTCTCTTTGTTTCTTTGCCTTTTTAAAGAGGCCTGCTCTGTAGAGCTCTATTGAGGTTGTCTCGGGGACAAGCAATTCTCTTGTGCTTCTGTTTGGTGTAGAAGACCCAAGAAGCCATGGGAGGGAAACGGCAGCCATAGCCAGGCCCACAGCAGATGGCCCCAGCCCGGGCTGGCTCCAGCGGGTCACCTTGTAACCACCCTCCACTTCCCCTGCTTGTGAGTTCTCGGGGGCTCTTCAGCCCATGAGACCGGGGGGTGATTAAGTGGGGAGTGGAAAGCAAGTCTAGGAATTTATGGAAGTTATTCTTAGTTTTAATTTAACTTGTTGAAGACTACTTATCTTTTAGAGATATATACTGAAATACAGATGAAATGATGGGTCTAAGATTTGCCTCAAAATAATCCCTTAGTAGGGAGTACAGGGGTGTAGAAGAAACAAGGTTTATAGATGAAACCAGACTGGATATGAGTTATTAATTGTTGAAGCTGAATGGTGAGCCCAGGGGAGTTCAGACTTCATTGTATCTGCTTTTGAGTATATTTGAAACTTTACCAAGAAAAGTCATTAAAAATTACCCAATGTGAAAAATTCAATTTCTTGGTGGGGGTGGGGGCTGGCAAAGGCCAGAAAGGACTTTGAATCTACTTTAAACTTTGTCTGCAGGGAAGATGCGAGGGGGAAAATACGCCACCCCTCTGGATGACGCTCAACGCCCTCAGATTGTGGCGCTGGTGTCGGTCAGCTCAGGCTGCTACAACAAAATACCAGACTGGGTGGCTGAAACAGCAGGCGTTATTTCTCACAGTCTGGAGGCCGCAGGTCAGAAATCAGCATGACAGCAGGGTCGGGTCCTAGAGAGAGCTCTTCTAGGCTGCAGATGGCCAGCTTCTTCTCGTGTCCTCACATGGTGGAGGAGACCGCCGAGCCCTCTGGGGTCCCTCTGAGGGGCCACTGATACTCACAAGGGCTCCACCCTCATGACTGCATCGCCTCCCGAAGGCCCCACCTCCCAGAACCATCACATTAGGGGTTCGAATTTTAGCATGAATCTAGGTGGGGGAACACAGACTTTCCATGCATAATAGCTCCTTGTAGAGTTTGCGACATGTCAGTTTTCAGAGGCTTAGGGGTTGATTCTGACCTTTCCTGACTCCTCCTATAGGAGTTAAAAAAACTCATCTCATAAGCTCAGGGTGGAAGCAGCTAATGGTCTTTTCCTTGCTCACTGGGGCTTGTCTGGGCATAGGTTGGTGCTCTCTCACTCCCCTGAACAGACATCATATTCTATACACCTCCCCTCCTTCCCCAGCACACAGATCCAGGTGGTCTCGGCTGCTCACCAGCCCCTTGCCCGCGCCTCTTGTGGCACAGAGGGGTTTCGGAATGCCAAGAAGGGCACGGGCATCGCAGCACAGACAGCAGGCATCGCTGCTGCAGCGGTAAGTATCTATGGCTGTATGTGTGTTCTTTCTGGCTCCCTCTGTGCTGGGCTCCACTTTCTGCACAGCTGACCACTAGAATTTGTCCTTGCAGTAGCCCTTCAGAAGCGAGTTTGCCGACTCTTGTTGGGTCCCCTAACGTGAGGGTAGTTAGAAGGAGCAGGGGCCAGGTGCTGAAGTCTCACAAGGCCTCCTGGATTTAAAGACCAGAGGGCTGGGTGGGGTGGCGTTGTGGTGAAAGTCCATCTGGAGAAGGTGTGGTGTCGTGAGGACGCAACTGCAGTACCAGATTGAGCGTGAACTGCTGCAGATCTTTCTGGAAGCAAATTGGCAGTGTGCTGCTGTTAGTGTGTATTTATGGAGTATCTACCATACAAGCTTCCCCTGTGGCTCAGCAGTAAAGAATCCACCTGCAAATGCAGGAGACCCAGGAGATACGAGTTCATTCCCTCAGTGGGGAAGATTCCCCTGGAGAAGGGCATGGCTACCCACTCCAGTATTCTTGCCTGGGAAATCCCATGGACAGAGGAGCCTGGCGGGCTGCCGTCTGTGGGGTCGCAGAGTCGGACACAGCAGAGCAGGTCTGCTACACACCAGATGCTTTATGTTCATTATCCTGAATCCTTGGAGGCCCGCAGTATTACCCCCGTTTTTAACAGTTGGGATTCAGAGTGTGTCACTTGCTCAGCGCCATGCAGCCAGTCAGCCTCCCTGAACTGACCCCCCAGGTCTGGGCCCAGAGCTTGCACACTATGTCTGCTACGACACAGGCCCCGCAAAGGTTCACGCTGCCAAACCCAGAGTGTCTCCTGAAGGAAGACCCTGACCCTCAAACAAAGCTCCGTGCCCCGAAATACTGATGGCACCATGTTAGTGATCATTAAAATGTGACCAATGGCCACTACATAGACAGGTTATATCACTTAAAAAATGTCTGTGTAAACGGTGGCTTCCGCGTGGTGGGTTGAGTGAGTTCTGTGTGTCTTCCAGACTTTCTGTAATAAACCACCTTTATAATCAAGAAAGAAAGCTTTCAACTGTAATGAAAGATTTTAAATGATTAAAGAACACTCTTTAAGAGGGTATTGAGGCTCAGGCAGGAGTCCTGGGATTGTTGTGGTCTGAGATTCTGCATTTATCCGCCTGAGAACAACCTGAGCGATGTTTCGCAGTGTCCAGAAGGTGGCAGTGCTGTCCCGGGCGGAAAGGGCCCCCAGCTGACTGCGCCGTCTGTGCTGCCCCGCAGCCCTCCGCACTCCGCTTCCTTCCCTGTCCTCTCCTGTTTGCGTGTGTGGGTGCCTCTTCCCTCGAGCTCATAACCCTGTCACTCCAGCGGGCAGTAGCAAGGGGCGGGGTTGTTGCGGTTCTTTTTCGGGAGCACTAACCACTTGCTGCTCCTCGCCAGAAAGCTACAGGAAAAGGCGTGACCCACGTCCGAGTTGTGGTCAAAGGCCTGGGGCCCGGGCGCTTGGTAAGTGACCTCGCTTCTTCACAGCCCAGCCTTGCGCTTCGTCCTTCAGTTAGTGAGAGAGCTGGGGTGGGGGCAGAGGAGGGAGACCGGCCTTCCCTGACAGCTTGAAGTTTGTCTCCGTTGCTTCTGATCCACTGAGCCCCTCCAGGCAAGCCCTGATCACTTAGCTTCAGTTCCTCAGACACTTACTGAGGTCCTTGGGGGCCTGTCACAGGTGGGTCCCTCGGGACAGGCTCGTGGGTGCGGCGGTGAAGCTTGTGCCCCGGGTGCTGGGAGCCCCTTGGGTGTGATCACCAAAGTGTCCCCAAAGAGGTGACATTTCTACTGATTTCTCAAGAATGACAAGGGACTAGCCAGGTGTGTTTATGAGTTTGGGGGTGAGGGGCACATTCCAAGCAGAGGAAACTACAAAAGCATAATGCTTAAGATGTGTTGAGATTTACAGTTGTCTTTGCCTTTAGATTGTAAAGAGCAGGGTGGGGCGTGGCAGGTGGGACTGGGGATGTGAGCAGCACTGAGGGCCTGGGGCAGGGGTTAGTAGGAAGCCTCTTGGGGGGGGGATTGGATTGTAGGCGTCAGAGCCAGCGCCTCCCCACCCCCCATCCCTCTCCGAGCCCTATCTGGACACACCGGGGCATCATCTCTGGTCCGTGCCATCCTCCTGTTCCTCCTACTCCTTCCAGTCTGCCATCAAGGGCCTGACCATGGGGGGCCTGGAAGTGATCTCAATCACAGACAACACCCCCATCCCACACAACGGCTGCCGCCCCAGGAAGGCACGGAGGCTGTGAGGGCCAGGAATCCTGCAGCCGCACCCGACGTCACGTCCTGCCTCCAGCTGGGCCTGCCCAAACTCTGCAGGCCGGGCTTGTTGAGAGCCGTGGACAGTAAGCAGGAGCCTCGCCTCCTCACTCGGCGGCCTTTGCTCCTCTGGCTGGAGAGCAGTGTGGCCGGAACTGAGGCCCTGCCTCTCTTGGACGCGAGGGGAGTTAAAGGGCAGCTTGACCCAGATTCCCGGCAGTAAATGCTGCTTCTCTTCTGAAAAAATAAAATTATTTCCACCATCTGTAGTAATTTGTGAGTTTTTGGTTTTGTTTTTTTTTTTTTTTTTTTTTTGCTTCCAGCATTACAGACCTAAACCTTCCCCCAGTTCCTGAAAACAAGACTGAATTGAGGTGAGACCCTCAATGGATGGAGTAAGATGTAAATATAGGCAACTAAGCACCAGACACCTTCCTCTTTGGCTTCAAATATTTCCTCTTTAGACCCTAAACCAAGGTTTCCAGAGCTCTCTAGCAACTTTTCTTATTAACTTGTAATTTGACCCCAAATTGAGAGGTTTTTGCCCCCACCTCTGGAGTATTCTGATAGTAGGTTTCACTGTTAATGTAAATGTCTAAAGTTAGCCCTAACAATGCAGGAGAATTGTCCTGAGATAAGGTTTTCTTAAGCGTGAACCATCAGCTCTGCTAAATGGTCTGTGGTTACCTAAATGGGAAGGAGATCCAATAAAAGAAGGAATATATATAGCCAATTTACTTTTCTGTACAGCAGAAACTTAACACAATATTATAAAGCAACTATACGCCAATACAAATTTTAAAAATAAAGATGTCAACCCTTACATGTTAAAAACAAAAAACAGTGTGAACCATCAGAGATTCCCCACAGTCAAAGCATCTTTCCACATTCCATGGGCATCAGCAGTCCAAACACCCAAGATTGTGTGGCCATGAAGGAGGGAAGGGAGACTGCTATAAAACAGGAATTAGTGTGGGTGGTGGGATGGGCAAGCGCAGAGCCCAAACAGAAGTGCAGGAAAGGGAGTCCCCCCTGCCCTAGGTGAACTCAGCTGGCCCCCGCCCAGGCAGCACTGACTGCTCAGCCTGGGCTCTGGAGTCACTGGATGCCACACAGAAGCCACAGGTGGGGGTTCCAGGAGCCCAGCCGGAGAGACCCCTCCCTTTTCCTCAGATAAAGAGGACCAAGGATGAAAGCATCACAGGAGATGAAAAGGTGCACGACCCTCAGAGGCAAGTCTGCAGGAAGGGCCTGCTGACTGCTGACAGGCTCCACATGGGCCCAGCCAGCCAAGTGCTGTGATTTGCCTGAGCTCCGTGTAAGTCCACAAACGTACTCTCAAATAGGAAAGCTGCTGTGCTGTACAGGCTAGAGAAGGGAGAAAGACCTTGATCTAGATGTGAATTTAAGAGGAACATGTCTCCCTGCTGCCTTCTCTTCCATCCCGAGCGGGACCTATTAAGGATGACTTGTGACCAATGACTAAAGGAACCCAACTGAAGGCTTCTGGTGTTACAGCCACTGCCAGAACGGAGCTAACACCTTTTCACCATAAAACTGCGTGTAAACATGATGCTTAAAAAACACAGGGCTCATGAGGGCCTGGAGCAGTTAATCAGAGCAAGAAGCAGATGGTTCAAAAGAGGGTCTTCCTGGTGGCTCAGATTGACCTGGGTTCAGACCCTGGGTCAGGAAGATATCCTGGAGAAGAAAATGACAATCCACTGCAGTATTCTTGCCTGGAGAATTCCATGAACAGAGGAGCTGGTGGGCTTCAGTCTGTGGGTTCACAGAGAGTCAGACACAACTGAGCAACTAACAATTTCACTTTACAGAAGTGCGGGTAGGGTCAGGGGATAAGCAGGTTGGATCCCTTGAGGACCAGCAGGGGCAGAAGAAGGACTTGTCCCCAGAGCCTGGCCAAAGCTCCAGTCACAGGAACGCAGCCTCTGCCAAAACTCCGGCCCCATAGAGGCAGAGTGAAGAAACACCCTGACTGCTCCAGCCTCTGACTACCCAACATCCCCAAGGGCTGAATCCAACAAGAACCAGAACACAGAGGAGCTTCTGGTCCATCCTTGGAGGGCATGCCTCCGAGGGAGGGGTGTGGAACAGATCCAGAGGGGCATGTGGAGAAGAGGAAGCACAGGTGGTCTCCATCATTCCAGAAGTGAAATCCTCCTTAGCACTGTAGTTTTAGGAAGTGTTATTCCCAAGAGGGCTTTGAAAAGGACTGATACTAAGAGTGCCTACAAGTAGCATGCTGGTCTCAGACCAGAAACAGAGGAGGCCTAGGAGCCAGCTTGGGTGGCGCTGTTGTCAGGGTGCCCTGGAAGACAACACAGCTTTACTGCTGGGAGCCCCAGGGCCCTGCTGGGTCCAGGCTTTTAAGAAGCCAGCGAATTTGTGCTCTCTTAGGCTGTGCATGTGTTCAGTCATGTCCAATTCTGTGCGACCCTGTGGACTGTAGCCCGCCAGGCTCCTCTGTCCTTGGGGATTCTCCAGGCAAGAACAGTGGAGTGGGTTCCCATGCCCTCCTCCAGGGGATCTTCCTGACCCAGGGGTCAAACCCAGATCTCTTTTTTTTTTTTCTTTTTTTTTTTCATTTATTTTTATTAGTTGGAGGCTAATTACTTTACAATATTGTAGTAAACCCAGATTTCTTATGTCCCCTACATTGGTAAGTGGGTTCTTTACCACTAGCACCATCTGGGAAGCCCCTCTTAAGACGGTATCACCTCTTAATCATTGGGTCTTGGCCTCAGAGAGTGGCTCCTCCTGAAGGGGCACTAAGGCATCTTCACTGACCACTTAAGGCTTTATCGTTCGCCCAAAATGCCAGGCTGCCTTGTTCCCGCTGGCACAGCCCTTCTCCGAAGCCGGCCTGCCAGGCCTGAGACACAGGTGGCCATGTGCTTGCACTTCCCCTGGGAAAAGAAGGCAGAGCCAGGCCCTGGGTCCTGAGTGTTTGCACAAGCAGAGTGTTGGCATCAGCACATGGGGCACACTTCCTTGTTTCCTGGCAGCAGGGCCTCCGGTTACTGCTATGAGTGCGTCTGCAGCTCAAAGCCGGTGGCCTGGGCCTGGCTACATGAGGAAAGCCTCTGCTCCCCGCTCCCCTCGCTTCTCCTCTCCTCTGCAGGCAAAAAGGCAAATGTAATTTCTTTCAACATAGATGCAGTGTTTTCCCTTCTTTCAGTCCGGGTCAATCACTGACACTTAGCTGTACCGTCACCATCAAAATAAGCTTGTTTAACACTCAAGTGATCAAACCAGTCAATCCTCGAGGACATCAGTCGTGAATATTCACTGGAAGGACTGATGCTGAAGCTGAAGCTCCAATACTTTGGCCACCTGATGGGAAGAGCCAACTCATTGGAAAAGACCCTGATGCTGGGAAAAATTGAGGGCAGGAGGAGAAGGGGGCAACAGAGGATGCGATGGCTGGATGGCATCACCGACTGGATAGACATGAGTTTGAGCAATTCCAGGAAATGGTGAAGGTCAGGGAAGCCTGGTGTGCTGCAGTCCATGGGGCCGCAAAGAGTCAGACACAACTGAGTGACTGAATAAAACAATAAAATTCAGGTACCTAGATGCTGGCAGAATATAACCGGGTACTTTAGGAGCAACCATTTTCCAGTCACCCCTGCCTACAAGCTGACTCTGACATGTCTGTTTTTAAAAAGTGCATATATGCCTTCCCCCTGGCCTCCTTTGCTCTTTCTTTTTCCTACTCTGGATACGCCCATTGCTTTTTTGTTTTTGTTTTTTAACATAATTTCTTCACAATGTTGTATTCGTTCCTGCTGCACAGCATCGTGAATCAGCCCCATGTGTACATACAGCCCCTCCTTCTAGAGCCCCACCTCCAACCTGCCCTCCTAGGTCATCACGGAGCAGGGAGTTTAGCCCGCTGTGTTAAACAGCAGCTTTCCGTTAGCTCTCTGTTTTACACGTGGTAGTGTGTATATGTCAGGGCCCCTCTGTACATGGAACTCACAGTTCGCATTGAGGTATTTCCATCAGTGGAGCAGTATCGTCCCAGCTCACGGCTGTGCCCTGGGGCCACAGGGCCTGCGCAGCACCTCCAGCACTTGCCTTCACTTTCAGTGTGGCCAGCATGACCGTGTGCGAGGAGCTGAGAGTTCAGTTTCATTCAATTCAAGTTAATTGGAAGGTATTGGGTTGGCCAAAAAGTTCATTTGGGGTTTTCTACGTGACATGCCATAGAAAGAGCAGAACACACTTTTTGCCAACCCAGTAAATACCTGAGGCCATTGGCTACCGTAGCGGACAGTGCCCCTGAGATGGCCTTTCATGTGGGCGCGTGTAGGCAGAGACACATGCTCACTGACGCACTGTGACGCACTGTGACGTGATGGAGATTGGAACCTAAATGCCCATCAACAGAGGGCTAAAGAAATTACAGTCTGTCCATATAACAGCATGTTAGCCCTGAAACAAGCCAAGATGTATTTGCTAAGTGAAAAAACAGATGTTGTGGGTGGGACGGGCAGCAGAATATGTGGAGGACAGTCATGCATTGTTGTAGAAAAGGTCAGGATTTGTATACATAAATGTGTATGCATTGAGTTATCTGGAAAGACATACTCCAAATAATAACATTCTCTCCAGGGAGAGAAATGGTGTGACTTAGAAACAGGAAGACTTTTTACCTTTTCCACCTTCAGAAGAAGGTGCCATGTACAGCTGACCTTGAACAACACCAGGCCTAGGGGCACCCACCTTCCATGAACTTGCAGATCCACACAGAACATCACAATGACCCTCTGGATCCACTGTTCCATATCCACAGATTCAACCTTGGACATCGTAGTACTAAACAGATTTAGTGGAAAAAAAAAAAAAAATCCACGTTTAAGTGGACCCTCGAAGATTGAACCTGTGTTGTTCAAGGGTCAGCCGTCCATGTTGCTGCTTATTCAGATTAAATAATTCACTGATTAAAACAGAAATAAAGAACTGA